CTCTTGCGCGCTATTGCTCGCTTATGACTTTTTGCTATGTCTGCCTTGAGTTGGCTGTCATCATTTTTAGAGAAAAGTCAACATTTGCTCACATTTGGTATAATGAATAATTTTTATGTATTTGTTTGGTGCAATAGAGGACATACAATTGGTTACCTGTGCTTATAATTTTACGACTGAGTACTGCAAAGTATGGAGAGAGTGTACAAAACCATTGCAACCTGGCCGCCGCTTGGTCGTACACTGCCACGGATCGCGGTAAGTATGCTTTTCGCCTTTAAGTACGTTGTCAACATTGTAGGCTTCCTTCCTATCCACAAACTACTTAAGACGAGTAGGAGTAAGTATTATTCTATTTTCTTCTCCGTGTGTTTACGTAATTTGAGCAGACCCTATTTGCGATAGTGCTTACTAGGGCTATGTTTATGACCGTTAATAAAGTAAATATTGTTTGTATTGAAATGATATAACAGGTTGATTGAGTAAATAACAAAACCACATATGTATGTCGGTTTATCATATAAAGATGCTATGGTTTGTGTTATATAGTGGCGCTATATAAAGGACATCACACGGGCTGAGACGCGGAAGGAAAGTCCTCTTATGAAAATCTTCTATTTTTATGATGCCAATGCATCACAAATAGTACATTATTGCAGAGGCCGGGAAGTAAGGGATTGCAGGACGAGTAAGAGTTACAAGGACGGGCGCCAGAGAGGCCTTGTATTAATACGACTCAAGCAATCCACGTTCCCGCCGAGGTATGTAGGTAATAGTAATAATAATATAACAGAAAAAGTAAAAAAATATTAATTAAAATTAAAATGTATACAATACAATTGCTAAAAGAAATTGTTATTATTTTTCCAGGTACAATAATAGTAGTCTGCTGAACTTCTGATGATGTGTTGGAATGTGTATTTATTACTGTACTTTCGATATCGCTCTTCTCCACTAGCACTCATTTTCGCGTCCAAAATACAAAATAAACAAACAAATAAACAAAATAATACCAAAACACTTTTTCACTCTAAGTGTTACCGCCTTTTTCTTTTTTTAAGTAAGTGGTACAGATAGGTATTTTTAATTTTCGCAGTTATGAAAAATGAGCAGTTGGCTGTATGAGTTTTTCTTTTGCCTGTTTAAATAGTTTATTATTAGTAAATGAATTTAAAAGTTTGAAGAAAAGGACAGTAATGGATTTTCATATTCACTCTCCAGGCCTTGGCCGGGAAGAAGGCGCATGGTCCATAAATGACGAACTTTCCGTGTTCGTTTTTTAAAAGTAATGCAAGCTTTTCCGAGCATGTTTGAGAAAAATACTTTGATTGATTCCCAAATGATGCAAGCAACTTTTTAAAAGTCTTTTATAGTATTACTTACTTTTAAAAGTAAAATAATGTCTCCATGAAGCAAAATATTTTATCAGCAATATTTAAAATACTTTCCCTTCCTGTTACGCCATGCATATGAAAGACTATCCGATGGGTATAAATCTGATGAAGGCGCTGCCAGTGCGTGGAGCGCACGCTGCGCGAGCGTATTCTGCTGAGAATTAAAATGAATGGCTGTCAATGGCTAGCCACCGAGCTAGAGCTGCTATTCAGCTGTCATTGCAATTTTTTGGTATTCCTCTCTTCAATGGCGCGTCGATGGCACGTCGATGGTGTAGTTTACTAACATTATACATATTTAATTTGAAAACTAATTTGCTAACTAATCGAGATAAGTTAAGATATGAATAGTAATTTCCGTGGTAATTTTAGTAAGTTAACATCGATCGTTAGTGATTGAATAAATGAACGCAATTACTGCCATTTTACTGACACTTTATTGAGACTATCCATCCTGCCATTGCAAATAAATTTTAGCATAATCTCAGTATGGAGTAGTAAAAAACCTACCTCAAAAGGTCGTAGAATTACATCTATTTGCCATGTTTTATTGAAATCGGTTACCGAAAAGTGCGCAGTACCGGTTTCATCCCCTAGTTTGCTACCTTTAGAGGTGGAATATTTTCTTCAAATTTAAATGGGACCAATACTGACGTACCCTCTTCCCAACAAAAATAGAATCATCAAAATGGTTCACAAATATATAATAACAGTATATATCATGGTTAGCGCGTAAGCGTTATTGTTTTACGTTATTGTTTTACGACTGTACGAACCTCCTCTTTTTTTGAAGTCGGTTAAAAACATGTTATATTATATTTGTTATAGTCATCATTGCACTATAACCAGTGGTGTCCAGAAAATTACCACAGACTTGGGACCCAGATCGCACTACGTAATGCACGTGTGCAACTCGCGAGCCTTTCACAAGCAACCACATTCGCAGCGTATTCGCAAAATCTGTACGCACCCTAAAGTCCAGCTGAATTAACGTTAACACTAGCGATGAACTTGATCATTGCTTTGAAGGCACACAGTATCATCGAATTTATCGATGTGTGTGTTTGTTTTGACGTCTTACTGCAAATTGTAGTCAAACATCCAAACATCCGACTGTTCAAAGGCTGATTTGAATGTATATTGTCCAATCGGTCCATCCTCAATTCAGAGTTTACGTCACCATTGGCATAAATAGGCTGCCTTTGAATTTGGTAGAGTTACTTAAAGGAAATGGACTTCGTGTTCGTTGCTTTCGGTATCGTAGAACAAAGAATCTATGTCAAGTAGCGTAATTAAGCTGGGTGCAAATTACAAAGGAACGAGGTCAATCGATCGTTTTCAGCTCAGTTGGTAATAAAAAGGTTTGTTTTTATAAATTCATAACTCATGCACTTGTGGAAACACAGGGTGAATAAAAAATACCAGTAACAAAATAACCTCAGTTTCGATGCATATTTTACTATTAGGTATTTAATTATTTACTTAGTTAATACTATTTTCAATGAGTTGAAATATATTTGTTTGTTTTTTAGACCCACGTCAAAAAGAGATTACAGACAAGCAGGTCATAATCTATCGCATCGTAACGCTTTTTCACTCCGCCTGACAACTACACAAATTACCTGCTCTCAAACTAGGTAACCCCCTGTACTATTAGTCCCAGGCACTCCAGAACACCCAGATCAGAACCAATTTAGAAAAGTTTCCTGTTGGTCTAGTAGCAGTAGAGATAGTTGTGAAGTACTGCAACCGTACCTATCTCTGCGGCCAAGCAGTACCGTCAGCATTATTTGTTTTCCGATTTTGAAGAATAAGGTGCTGCTGGTGAAATTACAGGCACATGGGACTTGTCAACTTACGTCTCAGGATAAGGAGCGCAGGGACAGCGCCCTTCAGATGTTTGTAATTTAAAACTGTGAGTGGCAATACAACTGTCATGTACAGGCGTGTCGCTTACCATCAGGCGCACGACTTGTTCGTCCCGTCACTTGTTATCATAAAAAAGAATTGTAACGCATACAATGCCAACCGCTAAGCCACCGAGGTCGCTAAAGGGTTAATGAAGGTTATAATTATCTAAAAGAATATCATTGTCAATGAAGATACAACCGAGCGTTGGTCACACATAGAACCCAGCCCTATTACTAAAAACACAAAAGCACTTAGCATATCTGAAAGCGAATATATGTCAAAAGGGATGTAAGAATAATAATAATATTTGTTCGAGTGTTGCCAGTAGCACACAAGCCACTTAACAAAGCCCCGAAACTTGGAGTCCATACAATACAAATAATTACGGGTACCCTTATCACACGGAAACATCTAACGCACAAGCTCAGTTCTGGTTATAATTGCTATGGTAAAATACCTGAAATTGTACCAATTTGGAATTTTTCAAGTATTTTTCTGAATGTTTGAAGTAACCAAAATTAATTAATGGTTTCTTTATAAGAAAAAAAGCAAAAGATCTTTTTCATTTAGAATGTAGCTTTTTCTAATCAATTGTCCATAATATGTTATTGTATATAATCAGCCCGACTTTGCTGGCTAGGGCATCGAGTTACCAAAAAAGCATATTTGGGGCACCGTACAAGTCATTGTTCGAGATATCACTGGAAAGATGGAGTCGCTAAAAACCTGAATAAGCTCCACATGCCTGAATGGTCGGAATTGTCACAAAACAGAAAGAAATGGCGTACTTTGGTATCGGAGGCTCCACTTCGGGTCGCTGAGTTAACGAAATAAGTAAAAAATTTGTAAAATTAAAAATAAGGTATTTAATTAATAACTTGTAACTATAGTGATTTTTTCACTATTGGTGGGTGGTTTGCATTAATATTAGACATAAGTGGTTGATGACTGTACCTATACTACGAGATTTTCTAATAAATATACATATATTGTAAACAAATTTGAGCTCAGATCACTATATACTTTTTTTATAATATCAAGTGACGAGACGAATGAGTCGTGTGCCTGGTGATAAGCTACACGCCTGTCCATTACAGTTGCAATGTCACTCATGGCTTTAAATCGCAAAGATCTGAAGGGCACTGCCACTGCGCCCGTCACCCTGAAACATAAGTTGATAAATCCCATGTGCCTGTAAATTCACCAGCACCCTTACCCTTCAGAAACCGGAACACATTAATGCTAGCGTTTGGCTTGGCGTAACGCTTGGCGATAGAAATAGTTAAGGTGGCAGTACTTCCCTGGACGAACTCTTTTACAAGGAGCGCTACTACTACTAATTTTTCAGGGTTACCTGAATAATATTATCAACACAAAGAAAAATTCATTCTAACTAGACTTGAACCAGTGTCTGTTGCCATATCGTGGTCACAGGTCTTACCAACTAAGCTACACATTGAGGTCGCAGATTTTACGAATTTCTATTTATCTTTGTTGCAGATTTTTCTATTGTGTTTAATCTGCTTTTTACCGTCAATGCTACCTGCGACAAACTTATGAAAGTTTCTTCAGTCATAGTATATAATGTTATTGGTTATTCATTTTAATGTTGGACAGATTTCTTCTCACTAGAATCGTGGTAAAATTATAATGTTAGAACGAAATTATTGATTTGGGTGAAAATTGTTGACTCACTCGGATTGACGGCTAGTCCCTCGTCCACGACGTGTATTGACAGGTGGAGGAGCACCAGCAATACTGCTGACAACTGAAACAAACATAAATTTACTTATTTCCAATAATATATACACATAAATTTAAACTTATTGACAGAAAAATTGCAATTTTTCGAAAGTTGACTTTTTTGTTTAGTGACGGTATTGGTTTCAAAGTGCGATATTATAAAGAAGTAATGAATAATTCATAAAATTGTCTTAAGTCTGTATTCGTACCGGCACATACGGAATAGTTTCCTGAAAAATAAGTACTATTATTACTATTATTGATACGTATAACATTCCGGACTGGTACCAACTGGCCACCGCTCTTACCTACACAGAGCTATGGGTCGTATTCCAGAAATCTACTCAATACTCAAGTCAGAACTTGAGTATTGCAGTGAGCACTAAAAATCATACTCAAGTCCTTGCCGTTAGGGCCGTAATTCCAGTGCTTGAAATCATACTCAAGTCTGAGCATTGAGTAGAGTTCTGGAATACGACACTCAGTGCTTGTTACAGAACGGTTTGTTTGGCATGATAATAATAAGATAGTGGTGACTTTCACAAAAAAAAACATATTCCTATAAGTACCATTGCCAAGTTAATCAACTTAACAACAAGTACCTTAATCTAATCTGTCGTATGGTTAGACACTGCGTCAAACTTTAGGTTGGTAGAGACACAGTTGCGGCCGGTTGCCACAACCATATAGAAACTGATGTGCGTTATGCGACCGGTATCCAGTACTTAAATACTGAAAAAAGTTTTGAAATTTAACCTACCTCCACCGTGCATGCCTACGTGCTCTTCACGCTTCCTTATATCATAAGAAGGACGGAATGCATGTGCTGGAAGAGAGTTAAAATTGTAAACTGTACGATAGAGAAAGGCAAAATCAAACTTTGTAATTCGTGATGAAATACAGCAAGTTGTAAATATAATGATTGCTAGACGATCACGCGTGCTTCTGAGGAAGAAAGAGGGGGGGGGGGGGGGGGGATAAATTTGAATAATTCCTCAGAGTAAAGGCAATAAGGTGTGACAAGACCCCATCATCGCCGGTAACTCGTGTGGCGCGACGCTGCATGCTGGCCAAGGCATCGAGTAGATACTTGGCGGAGCCGTCTCAGAGATGTGAACAATACTCAACACAACCTGACCTGTGTTTTATGCTACAGTCATACCAACTAGTCAGGCACAAAGAAACGACTCACCATGTTCAGGACTCCCAGTTGCTGTGAAGCTGTTTTGATTAGTTTCGATGTAGCTCCCTGGTTTCAGAAATAATATACGCCTTTAAACTTTCGTATTTCATTATACTAACCGGAATATACGGGATGGAATAATTTAATAGGTATTTGCATACCTACCTATTATCCCTATATTTCCGTCAGATTGTATGGTGCGTGTTCACTGGATGAATGTAGACGCGATATTAAATAGCAGGTAAGTGCGCAAAGATAAACTATGTAGGTTCATCGCGATTAATAATAATAATGATAACTTTATTGATAGCCATTACAAATACTATAGAAATCCTACAGTGATTATTAGTTATTGATTGATTGCTGACCAGTCAGGTAACATTCAGACCCCACAAAAGGATTTAACCAGTGTTAGCAGAGAGTACTGTCGCTGTCACGGCGGCAAGCATCAATTGAATTTTTATCAACAAATGGCTTACGAGTAAACTAAAAGGAACTCTGTATTCTCAAAACCAGTACAATAAAACTGTTCAATTGGGACCCAGAAAAGAAGAAAATATGACAAAGGTGTTCAAAGAGTTAGTACAATTTAAAGTATACTTACTATGTTAGATAAATAAGGAGCAGTGTGTATCAAGAAAGTGAATAGTAAGTGTTGAGTGTGTTGTGAGTGGTACCGATTCAACAATAAGTGTATGTGTTTGAAATCTTTGAAGGTGCGTTATAATTCTTGCTTTTGGATGCATACATGGTCCTAATATTAGGAGAGTCGGATACCAAAAAGTTTAGATGAAAGTACACAACCTAAGAGTTTGATTATTTAAATAAAATTAGAGAAATTACAATAACAACGATTGTATGCAGTCGTTGTTATTATAGTCGTTGTGTAGTATGTGGCATCGTAATCATGACATTTTAACAAAGCTGTCAATTTTTTCTTGACTTCGTAACGGGAAAGAGAGTATATATTTATTTAATTGTTATAGATGTTATATAAACTAGCACTGAGAACACGGAAAGGCCTTCTTCAAGGTATTAATATTAAGTTTGTTCTCGTTTTGTAATGTTGGCGTAATCATAATGTTGACCATCAACATACAACGTACGTAACATAGGTAAAACGTAAACTGTATTTTTAAAGGAGAATGGCGACCCAGATTTGCCCTGTGCTAAAACAATTTCTCTCTAAGTCTCGGCACTAAAAACAAATTTTTAAGGTTCATTCTCTTTATATTGTGACACCTTTTTGTTCTTAAGTCTGGTGCACTTAAAAAATGCCACAGGCTCTCAGGCTCGGACACAATGCAGCTAGTAAATTTCATTAAAATTCCGCTTTGTGCACGACAGTGGCGCAAAAATTAATTTTATACTTGGACATTGGACATAGTAGGGATTTTTTTAAGCACCCGATGTAAAATGCAGACGAATGAATTTGGTCCGCCGGATTTGATCCTGATTGAATCATATCGTACCCCATCGAGCATATGACCAGAAATAGAGACGAAATGTCATTTAATTTCTTTGTAAACTTTTCTGCCATATCGTTACGGCGACAACTGCGCTCCAATTGGCCAGCCCGAATTTGAAACAATTGACGGGTGTCATCAATTGTTTAACTTCAAATGGACCAGTTTAACTTCAGCTTTGCTCAATGAAAAATAATATATGTAATATTTAATTACCAATGAAATGTGGTTCCGTTTGTTTTGTTATTAGATGTTTTGCGGTTTTTCCCACACTATCTATTGGAACAGCCCCCCATAGTTAGATATATTATCTTTATTACAATAAACACAGAATATTATAAACACAGAATACACGGAGACGTACCACAGCTTTACAATTTCAGTTTTCTAATTTGTTATGTTAGTGCAAACGAGAGTTGATATTTAAAAGTGATATAAGACCCATTTGCCTGATGGGCTGCTAGGGATGGATGGCCCTTATTTCGTCTCTATTTCTGATTATATACTCGATTCGTGCCCCTCACCAACTGTTGTAATTATCAAGACAACTTCTTGAGCCAAACTTGTAATATTATTGAGTCATATTTCATATTTTGTGTTAAAAGGAAAACTAGTGTATTATTAGAGGAGAAGGTTCACTTTTTAAAACTGAGTAAGATCGTATATCGTACTCAGGACCAAAAATTTCGAATACGGCATTTAATAATAATAATTTCCTTATTACCACAAATTACAGAAGTACTAAATATAAAACAATTCAAAATATTAGAAAATATGACATTGTTGAATTTTGGAACGGGGTAGCTAGCAATTGTAATAGCGACTCAGTCTCTTAAACTAAGTCAACCTGTGTTAGTGTAAACTACAGTGATTCGTGTTTAAAGTTCTTTGCTTCAATAATGTAGCAAACTAAAGTGTAAAATGCAACAATTAATGAAAGTAAAAAAAACATTTAGAAGAGGAATGATAAGTAAATATGAATAATACTCATATCTATAGCTAATGCTATAGATATCAAAATTCGAGCAAGAGCTCGGAATTTGCAATTGGTAAGAAGCAAATACGGCCGTAACTAAAAAATGGATGGAATCAAGAAAGCACGATTTGAAAATTTAAAATAAATACTGAATGAAGCTTATTGCAAATAATGGGATTACTATAATAATTAGTTACCCATTTACAAACAAGAATATAAATTTATTGGTTCCATTCAGTAATTTTAGGAAATTTCAAGTCGTGGTTTCTCAATTCAATCATTTTTGAGTTACGATAGTATTTGGTTCTATGTGCGTGTAGTGGCTTGCCGTTCGCATAAAAAAAATACAAAATCACAAATACAACCACGAATTCTTGTGCAAATACACAAATACCACTACATATCCAATTCCGAGTTCTCCCTAATAGCACTTATAACTAGGTATTACACCCGACGGATGATGAGTTCACATATTAAACCACTTGCCATCGAAACACTAGATCTCGTTGCCGTAGACCCGTTCATTATTTTTTGGTGTGTGTACTTGTATGTTACGCAGTTAATTCGACATTTGTGAAGCGATTTCGATGATTCATTTTTGTTAGTAGCAGTAGAGCTCCTTGTGAAAGTGTTCGTTTACTACGTAGTACTACTCGTACTGCCACTTGCCTACTTCTGCCGCCAAGCAGTAATGTCAGCATTACTGTGTTCCGGTTTTGAAGAGCAAGAAGGTGGCTTATTATTAGGCGCACGACTTGTTCGTACCGTCGCTTTATGTTTTAAAAAACCCCATCAATTTGAAGCGATATTCCATCATTAAGGGTGGCAAATTAGGCGAACCGATATCAATAAAAAACTTAAGCAGTAAGGCTCCTTGTGAAAGAGTTCGTCCAGAGAAGTACTACCGCCTTAGCTATTTCTAACGCCAAGCAGTAATATTGTGAGCATTACAACGTTCCGGTTTTGTTCGTCCTGTCATTTGGTATCATAAAAAAATTGAGAACTGATTTAGATGATTCTTTTTTGTTGGAAAGTTTTTAAATTTTAAAAATTAAATGGAACCACTACCGAGGTAGTGGTCCCATTTAAATTTGAAGAAATATTCCACCTCTAGTGGTGGCAAAATAGGGGATGAATCCAGTTTATTGGTTTTCACCCAACCGATTTCTATAAAAAAAAAAATTAGCAATAGATGTAATTCCACAAATTTTTGAAGACGATTTATATTATTTCATAAAAAAAGTTATTTAAGTTATCATACAGGCTATTAACCAATATCAAAAATGCTGCTTTCGTCCTCCATATTATTATATATGTATACTCGGTAGTAACGATCGGCCGTCTGGAGCGCTCATCGAACACTTAGCCGGATATGGTACACCGGACAAGATCCTTTCGTC